GCATCGAAGCTGCCCACAGCCCCTGCCTGCTTGGCCCTCCAGAAGAAAGACTCCTGCTCTGCTTAGAGCTTTCGGATCGGAGGGACTGCCGCATGTTGCACCGCAGTTCACAACCAGAAATGCGGGCAGCTCCTTCTGCAACGTCGCCAAGATCTGCAGCGAGCACAGAACGACTTTTTGAGGGTGAGGTCTGGAACTGATTCACTGGGGAACCGTGGCAAGGCTTAAATCTGCATGTCTGCAACCCGCAAACATGTTCCAAGGCGTTCTGAAATCGATTCCCGTCCGAGGCCCACACCTCATCCACGGCAGGGTCCATGGCATTGCTGCTTCAGAGACCATGGAACTCCAACAGCCCCTAAATTCGTTGAAGAGTGCCTGGTTGACAAACTGCTGCAACTAACAAACATATTCACGTTACTCTTTGCGCCGCACGTCACCAGCTTTACACTTGAGACGTTTACATGCTCGGCAGCTAAAGCCGGCCACGTCAGTCTTCTGCTCGATCCGACNNACCGCCCCCCCCCCCCCCCTCCGACTATTGGCACTCGGCCTCCCTGAAACATTCGGAGAGATACTCGGAAATTCGGGAAGCGATGCCAGGCCAGGACCCCTTAGCTATCCTTAGCTCACAAGCAAGACACGGACGATTTCGAGCCATCGCCTGGTCTCCGATCGTCTCTACGCTCTACGCCTCAGGGTTCTCATGGCGACTTCCTTGCTCCAGGAGCACACCGTCGGCCTCAGGGCCAAGCGACACGAAGCCCGTCGAATTATGAACTCGATTCGTGGAAAGGGGTGCCGCCCACACATTGTCGTAATGTTCCCCTGTTTGGGTGACAACGATGTGCCCGCGCAGGCCTCGACATAGACGTGGAACCCGCCCTTCTTGTGCCTGGGCTGCAAACTCTTATCCGTTCCTGCCAACTTCAGATCGCTAAGCCCAGTCGTAAATCCATTGAGAGCCAACCTGCAAAGCCCGTGCTGCCAAAGATCTTCTTGACAGATGCAGACTTCGAATGCTTCTGGTGTTGGCTGGCCCTTTCTTTGGAACCGCCTTTCCGTGATGCCTTCTTGCTGGGAGGCGAGTTTTCCTCTCAGGGAGCAATTGATGCACTTGCAGGCAGTCCCTGTCAAAAGCTGCACTGGCCAGGCATAATCTCTGGCAAACTATCAATGCATATTGAAATGGTACCGTACTGTTTGCGAGGTGTGCTCCTCAAATTCGCGCGTGCCTTCTGTATCAGTGGTGCGTACAAGACAGTGGTGCGTGCAACACAGAATTGCGTAGATGCGGCAAGACAGCAACTGGACAGGATGATGGATGCCCTAGCCCCCCAGAATTGGCAAGTCTCACAACCCCCGAAGCCTTTTCGAGCTTAAAACCGCCCATAAACCCCTAGCTACAGTAAGGCAAATAACAAACGCACTGCTAAGCACGTGAAGTAGTACTGCCGTTGCCTCACATCCCCAAATTGCCACCCAAGCCAGACTGGGACACGGCCAATCTCCTCGGTCTCCACGAGGTCTGCGCCGTCTGCACTATCCTCGGAGGAATCCTCGCAGTCTTCCAGAGCTGAAGCTTCGATTCTCGTATCGCAAAGCGGAGCGAACGCCCCGCCCTCAGGAATTCAACAAACAACATTCATTACTCCAGTGAAGAAGCGTCTTATCTTACACATCCGCCACGCCCTTCCCAGCAAGCCCCAAGCAAGATCGCAGAGCTTTCCGAGAGCTGGAGACTTCGCTCAAAATTTACTTCTTTGAGCTGGTGCGGAAGAAGGCCTCGTCACCGGCCTTGGAGGACTCCCCAGCGGGCTCCTCGGCATGCTGGTCCTCCGCCGATGGAAGATGGGGGAAGCAAAGGCTCAGTTCAGCACGCCTCGTAAGAGCACAGGAAGCCTGAAGTGCCCTGCTGTTCCTTTTTTGCTTCAGATCTATCCCCGACTGAATGGGGGGGGGTTCTTGAGCAAGTTGGTTTAGAGTCGAGGGGTACCTATCATCCAGGATCTTTCATCTTCTGAAACTCCCAACTCGGAAGTCCTCGCCAGGCTCCTTCTGCTCTTTCGGTCTCTGTGAGGGTGCTTTCGACTCCCTGTCCTGAAGACTTGCAAACACTCTGGGCTTCTTGGCCTCCCACATCGCAAGCCATAATAAGCACCGCAGGTCTTTCGAGGTCTCAGAACAACCACTTCCCCACCGCTCCGCCAGTCGGTTCAGGGTTATAGGTTGTAAAGGCATATCCACTCTCCCGAGTTGCTTTTTGGGTTTAGGGCTAGGGTTTGCGCTCGGACAAGTCTGGCACGGTCAGGGCTCAAGGGCGTTAGGGAATGGGCTGCAGTTATGGGTCTCAAGAGTTTCCAGTACTGGCCTCAATCTGAAGCCGGAGCTTATCCGAACATCTGAGCCTCTTCGGCAGAGGCAGCGTGGCTGGCATTCCTCTTCGCTTCCTCTTTGGCCGACGACAGCTTGGCAGCAGCCACAAGCTCCTCCAGCGACGTGCGGTCCAAACTCAGCATGGACTCTATGAGGTTCCCGCCGGATCCTGCAGTAGCTCTCTGTCGCTTGGCTTCAGGCCTTCCTCACTTTTGGGCTTTTCCTGCTCTGCGTCTGCCTGTGGCGGAAGCGTGCTGGTGCTTCTCGGGTTCTTCGAGGTCGGGAGACTTTCTCTCTCACAACCTATCCCGAGCAGGACATCATCTCTGGAAAGGAAAGTCCTGTACAAGCACACCTGCTGACATGTCCCGTGCCATGAGCTCGGAAAGCTCAGGTGCGGTTTCCCGCAGCCTCGACAGAGCTCGAAGATGCTTCCGCCTCGTGCCTGGGCTACTGCTCATGTGCTGAATTTGACGTTGAAACACACGCCGACGATCCTGGCAGTTATTGCATCTTCATCTTCAACCCTACATGCACGGCATCCGAAGAAGCACACATCCAGCAACACTGTGCACCCAACGCGGCTCTGAAAATGACGAGCCGAGCAACTTCTTGGCTGTCGCCGGCTTCGAATGCTTTTGCGGATGGGTAGCTCGCTCTTGTCTGTTGCCTCTTCCGGAGGGCTTCTTCTTTGGAAGCATTGTCTCCTCCAAGATTCACACAGCCGATGTGAGGTCGAAAAAGGTGGATGCACCGATCTGCCCCGAAAACACTACTGAGTCCCGTCAGTTCGGCTGCCATGCCCCAGATGTCTGAACACATCTCCCCCTGGCAACAGCCATCGGTCCGCTTACCCTAGAAAACACACCTCCTGTTGCAGCATCCCGATGGCCCTCCTAAGACGCATCCTGAGATTATCCGAGTCCCTGCAGCCTAGACCCTGGAAGCCTGAACTTCCTCTTTTGCTTCACACACTACAAACACGAAAAGCCCTAACCGTGCTGCGAAAGCATAAGGTCTTACCACCTTCCGATGCCCTCGATTTTCATATTTTTCTGAAACCCACAGCCGGCGTATATCATCGGAACCCAAAATTCGAGTCCGGAGGAGCGCCTGCAGAGAAGTGTACCAAGCCCTTCCGAGTTTTAGGTTTTCGGCTCTCACACTCGGACAATGCAGGCGAGGCTTGTGGACGTAAGTCAGCTTAGTTTTAGAGGTTTTTGAGGTTTGGGCAATTACGTTTGGGTGTTTTTGGGGGGTGTGCCCCCAGCTGCGGAGCCTCGAGCTCGGACTCCACGAGGTCCTGACAAAGTCTCGGGGTTTGCCACACTCAAGTGCTTGCTCCGTGGCATGTCGTGTGACACACGTCTGCTTGGTAAGAATATGATTTGTAACCTCCTGTGTCCGAATATGTCTCGCCGTGACATGGACTGGATACTGCTACTGGATGGTTGCACTGCTCAGGCAAGGCTGGGTCTCCGCCGTTCGCATTCTTAAAAGCCCTGCACAATCCAACGTTCCAGCACACTTGGCACTCACCCGCTCCTGGCGAGCAGCTAAGCGAGACACAATGACTCCGAGATTTACGGGTCATGATACGACTTCGGTGTAGACTTGAGTGAATCGTAGCGTGCTGACACAGTCAGGCGGTTGAAGCAGCCCCAGCACGAAGAGTACCAGCATCTGCGCCACCGGCCTCGTCACGGAAATCGTGTGGCTCGTCGGCCGGCACAGGTGGGTCCTCGACAGGGATGGGCCACATGCGACCCTGAGCCCTGCGGCGCCCTGGAGCCCAGAGCCTGCCCGTGCTTGTTCTGCTCTTTCTTCCTGTGTGGTGATGCCGTCGACTCCGTGTCCTGAAGTTATGCAACAAGAATGGAGCCGCATCACTTGCATACAGCCCCATTCAATCGTCCAGGCAAGACGCCAACCTTCGGGGCCGCCCTCGCACTCGAAAAAGTCCGAACGTACTACATAGATGGAAAAGGCGAGATTGGTGATTTTGGAAAAAAACAGCTCAGAGAATGCGAGTTTGGCTCCGAGTTGGAAAAGGCCCGATTTCGGAGTTGGAAGGTTTGAGCGGGAACTCCGTTGAAAGTCTGAAGTAGCGGTGCGCTCGCACACGACAGACCTAGTGTGAAGGACGTTCATGGGTCTACTTGGCGCCTCGCAGGTTCGAGTTTGAAAGTTTGAGAGGTTGGAGCTTGAAAGTTTGAGGGGTCCAGGATTGAAAGATTGAAACTTGTACAGGCTGGTCTTACATCCTGAGCCCATGAGCTCCACGACTACAGGTAATGAGCATTAGGATATGTCATGAACCGCCATCGCCGAATCGCTTGATCATAAGGGGGCGGGTTTTAAGAAATGCGATCAACCGCCATCGCCTGATGAGGGGGCAGGCTTAAGAACTGTGACGACCCGGGACAGCCGAACGAGCGGGGCGGGTTTCAGCATTCACGACGAGGCAACGCCCTGCCAGGTCGCCTCAAACGAAATGCACATAAGCGAGGGGGCAGGTTGAAGAAATGTGACCTACCGCATCCTGCTACGATGACAATGAGGGGCTGGGTTTGTGAAAGGTGAGCAGCCATCGTCGTTTAATGCGGGGCGGCCACCGTCGCCCAATAAGGGGGTTACATGTCAGGAGTGGTTGAATCGCCACGAACCCTCTTACATGCACGGGCCTAGCGCAATCCGAGCATGAGTATCACGCCTTTGCCCCATGATATGCCGCGAATGTCAAACTTTTAGAACTTCGAACTTTCAGTCTGTGGAACTCTGAAATTTGCCAACTCGGAGCTCAGCAGACCGTCAAACTGTCGCACTCGACGGGCTTGCAGGCTTCAAATATTCAATTCAATCTTCCAAACCTTCGAACTCTCGAACTTTCATGCCGCTCCATTTTCAAACTCGCAAACCGTCGAAGTCCCGAAAACTTTCGACCCGTCGAACACTCGACCTAAGCGGCGAGCCCCGGGTCGAATTTGGAGCGAGCCTTGCAAACTCGAAGCTTTCGATGTTCAATCCTTCGAGCTTTCCACATATGAAGCCTTTCGAAATCTCGAACTTGCACAATCAAAAAGCTTTCAATCTCCAAACCCTCCTCCAAACCTTCAGACTGTGGGGGCCACTGGGACTCGGCTGCGGCGAAAGCTTGGAGAGTTGACTTCGCAAAGCGAAAAGGCGAGCTCGAAATTTGAACCGCCCGCTCACCTGCGCACACCAGCATGGGCCCCAATACCCCCTTCTAAGATTGAAACTTTTCAACTTCGAACCTTCGAGCCTCAAACTCTCGAACCTTCTACAGTAGCCGGAACACCCTCGCTCGAGAATCCCGATTTGGGACGCCAAGTCACTTCGCCGGCGGTTTTTGGCTTGGCTTCCTCGCGGTTCGCCCACTTGGCAGCTGCGACTAGCTCCTGTCCGAAGAAATTTCCCGACAGCACGGCGCAGTCTGAAGCAGTGGCCACAGAAGTCTTTCTGAACAACAGAGATCAACGGGGCCGACCCAACTCGTCCACGGCAGCTCGGACGCAACGTGTGGACATCAATCCCTAAGCAGCGGTATCCCAGTTCCAGCATCCTCAAACGTCAACCCTGGTTGCAAAGCAAGCTGCCCCTGTCCTGCAGCAGCTCTTTGTCGCTTTGCTTCATCATGGCTTCGGTACTCTGGCTCTTTTCCTCATCCCCATCCTCCTGCAAAGACAGTCCAAGTCGCGGGATGTCGCGGGGCTTGGGAACTGCATATGGCATATGGTTTGAAGTGCCAAGCTGCAAAACCTGACAAGCCTCTAATTGGCACCAAACTGACAGGGTTCACCGGTCAGTGAGTTCGGAAGAAAGGCCGTTGCACCGCAATGCGAGATTGCAGGCCTGTCGAACTGGGTCTCCGAAGACGCACCCAAAAAACGAAGCGTAAAATTTAGGATACCATCTGCACATGGGCCCCCCAAGATCATGTGGAAGGGGTTTGAGGAAATGAGCCCCGGGACACGACGGATCGCCGGGTAACATGGCGAGAGCGCTTCGGGACGGAGCGATGTGTGAGCTTCAAAAACATCGACGCGACGAAAAGCGCCAGCCTCCGTGCGCGACTGGGCAAAAGAAAACAGCAGAGCGGACCAGTGGCGGCAGCGGAGAGGGGAGCTGATGGGCTGATGGGCTAAGCCTCTTGGCGCACCACAGCTGAAGGGCGACATCACAATTCAAAGATGATAGTGCTGGAGCTGGACCGCGGGGCCTCCTTCTCCGTCTCCTCGCCCTCCTGCTTGTCGCCGGAGTCCTGAACTATCACAGGAACCCCCCAAGCTCCAACGAGAAGTCACAAAGCTTGTGGCATGCCGTAAGAGCAGTATATAGAGAAAAAGTGTTGGAGAAGAAGCACATGAAGACTGTTTCATGGCCCGCCTTCGAATCTTGTCGGCTTTCCTTGTCATCTTTGGCCTGCCCACTGCTTCGTCCCCTCCGGTTTTATGGAGGGTCTTGCAGGTGGCATAGGCTTCTCGCAGCGCAGTGGTAGAGAGCATCACAACCCGAGCACCAGTCCAAAAAGAGTGGCAGCCACCTCCTCTCTGACTTGCTGATCCCCAAATCGAAGCGCAAGGATCTCACCCGAATGTCAACCTCCGAAATACCCCTCCCATCAGGCCCAGCTTGAGCTTTATGATTGCTGAAAGGCACCTCGGCACTCTCGGGGTTGAGGGTGTCCGCATTGTCCTCCTCCTCGCCTTCGCTTTCGCGCATCGCCTTTTCCTCCTTCTGGTCTTTGTCCTCCGTCTCCCCTCTGTCCTCGCCATCCTCCTTCTCGTCCTTCTCGTCCTTCTCCTCCCTCTCCTCCTTCTCCTCCTTGTCGTCCTTGTCCTTCAGCTCGGCCGAGGCCGAGCTTTTGCCCTCCTGGCGCCGGCTGGCGGAGGCTCGCGGAGGCCTACTGAGGCCTCTGAACCCTTCGGGTGTCTTGCATGCTACAGGCACAAAGGGAAGTACGCCGTGATCACAGTACAATTACTACTACGGGGGACATCTCTATAAGCTCCAAATAGAGCCCCCCACCTTCTCGAGGCTCTGGTCCGCCTCTTCGGACTCCGGCGCTGCCTTGGTGTCCTTCCGGAATGCGAACAGAAAGCCTCTTTTGAGTGCAAAATACTTACTTAACCTGTATGCTAAAGGAACGAAAGGCTAACCTTTAAGGGAGTTTATAGGCATTCTACTACCCAAAAGCTCTAAAGGTTACGTACCCAATGTTACCCACTAAGAATGAATACATACGTGCGTACGTACATACATACACATGTATGTATGTATATATACATGCATGCATACAGACACATATTATATATGTTCTATATATGTCTAGAGATGTAAGTAATTAGTTCCTTTGGACAAGGTTGAATAAGATTTGGGGAATAGTTGAGGAGCTCTTGGGCTTTGGTTTGTCCTCCTTGAGACCGTCGTCCGCACTTTCCTTCTCATCGTCCTTCTCAGGCTCCCCTAACACTAAACACGTAGCCTTGGTGGTTTCGGGAAGCCTGGCAAAGGTGGAAGCAAGGCTACAGTGAGCCTGCAGTACCAGGCAGCTCAGTGACATCCTCCGGTGCTTGTTGGCTTCGAAACGTCTTGAAGCAGGTGTCCTCCTTCTGGCTATCATCAGAACTTTCCTCTCCATCATCCTTCTGCGGCTCCTCCTGTATTCCAGGTTTGGAGACTCATAAGAAGGAGGCAGGGGCGTCCACATAGCAAGTCCAGCGTGGGTGGCAAAAGTTGCACTCAGCTGCAACAAACAGTAGCTTCGACAAGGCAACGGGCAAACAAGTTCCACCCAAACTGCCCGGAAAAACTGACAACGTTCGCTCTGGTGTAGTCTCTGCCAGTTGGCCAGTTGTGCAACATTGAGACAGTCGGCATGCATGTCAAGACGCTGCGAAGGTTCAACACTGTTCAGAAAGACATGACCTAAGCGCACGATCTGAATCTACTTTCCAGTGTTCCGCAGTCGATGCAAATCTTCGGCTTGGGTAGCCACGAAAAAATTCTCCCCAACCTCACAGAATTGAGGCTCGTAGTCGGAAGCCTTCTCCGACATATCCTCCGTGTCTGTCTCCTCGAAGCGCGAGGAAAGCAGCCGGAGGCAGTCTCGTCTCCACAGATTCGGGAATTGGTGTTAAAGCCAAAGGAAAGATGTACGAGTGTGCGTGTGTTGTGTGGGCTCGTAAGTTGTGTGGGCTATCGGTATGCCACCCCGATTGAGCTCGAGGGAATTCAGAATAATCTTCAGCCCCATTCCCGTTGGCGCGTGAAGGATTTCAAAAAATCCTCCAGCCCCACGCCGTGGCACCTGAAGGCTTTACAAAAGATCCTTCAACCCCACCCGGTGGGCTTCGACATGCTTCACCCCACCCACCTCCTCCGAAGGGACCCCATCGCGGGTGGGACCCCACAACCCTGTCAGATTTACAAATTTGTGGGTGGACGTTAGAGTTACAAACTTATAGTGTCCTTAAGGTTTACAAAGTTTGCAATACAGACATAACAATTTTGTGGGTGGACGCTGGCGTTACAAACGTATGGTGTCCTTCAAGATTTTAAAGTTTACAAAGTTTACCATGCAAACATACACAACTTTGTGGGTGGACGTTGGCGATACAAACTTATAGTGTCCATAAACGATTTTAAAAAATCTACACAGTTTACAAAGTCTACAATGCAAAGACACACAGATTTGTGGGTGGACGTTGGCATTACAAACTTAGAGTGTCCTGAAGCCTTAAAGTTTACAAAAAGATTACAATACAAAGATACACAAAGATATGGGTGGGCGTTAGCGTTACAAACGTAAACTGTCCTTAAAGGTTTTCAAGTTTACAACGTTTACGTTACAAATCTACACAAATTTATGGGTGGACATTGGCGTTACAAACTTCTGGTGTCGTTAAACGTAAACAAAGTTTAGAATACAAAGACACACAAGTTTGTGGGTGGACATTGGCGTTACACACGTATAAGTGTCCTTAATTAAAGTTTACAAAGTTTACAATACAAAGATACACAAGTTCGTGGGTGGACGTTGGCGTTACGAGCCTATTGTCCCCTTAAAGGTTTACAATGTTTGCAATACTGTAAACAGATACGCAAATTTATGGGTGGACGTTGGCGTTACACATCTTGGTGTCCTTAAGGTTTACAAAGCTTGCAATACAAAGGTAGGCGCATTTGTGGGTGAACATTGGTGCTACAAACTTGAAGTGAAATTCAAACTCACAAAGTTTACAATAAAAAAATAGAAATTTTGGGTGGACGTTGGCGTTGCAAACTTATAGTGTTGTTAAAGCTTTTAAAGTTTACAAAGTCTTCAATACAAAGATACACAAATTTATGGGTGGACGTTGCGTTAAAAATCGTCTGGTGGCCTGAGAATTTACAAAATTTACAACACAAGATTACACAAATTTGTGGGTGGACGTTGGCGTTACAAACTTATAGTGTCCGTAAAGCTTACAAAGTTTAAAATAATGGGTGGACGTTGGTGCTACAAACATATAGTTAGTGTCCTTGAGTTAAAAAAGTTTACAGTACAAAGATACACACTTTTGTGGGTGGACGTTGGCGCTACAAACTTATAGTGTCCTTTAAGCTTACAAAGTTTACAGTACACAGATACACAAATTTGTGGGTGGACATTGGCGTTACAAACATATCGTGTGGTTCAACTTTACAAAACTTACAATACAAAGAGACACAAACTTGCGGGTGGACGTTGGCCTTACAAACGTATAGTGTTCTTAAAGTTTACTAAGTTTACAGTACGAAGATACACAAATTTGTGGGTGGACGTTGGCGTTGCAAACTTATAGTGTGCTGAAAGCTTACAATTCTTACAATACAAAGGTACACCAATTCATGGGTGGATGTAGGCGCCAATTGATGGAGGACGTAGGACCAGGCGTTGCAAACTTGTAGTGTCCCGAAGTCTACACCAAGTTTATACAATACGGCAACGAAACATTGGCGTTACAAAGTTATAGCGTCCTCAAAGTTTACAAGCTTTACAAGAGAAGATACACAAACTTGTGGGTGGAAGTTGGCGTTACAAACGTATAGTGTCCTTAAAGTTTGCAAAGTTTACAAAGTTTACAATACAACAATACACAAATTCATGGGTGGACGTTGGCGTTACAAACTTACAGTGTCCTTAACTTACAGTTTAATTACACAAAGTTGACTCAGTTGACAATGCAAAGATACACAATTTTGTGCGTGGACGTTGGCATTACACACTTATGGTCTCCTTAAAGGTTTACAACGTTTGCAACACTGTATAAACATACACAAATTTATGGGTGGACGTTGGCGTTACAAACTTATGGTGTCCTTAGGGTTTACAAAGTTTACAATACGAAGACACACAAATTCATCGGTGGATGTTGGAGCTACAAAAAGTTTACAAAGCTTGCAATACAAAGGTGCACAAATCTGTGGGTGAACGCTGGCGTTACAACCTTATAGTGTCCTTGAAGGTGTTAAAGTTTACAACGTTTACAAAGACTACAATACAAAGATACACAAATTTATGGGTGGACATTGCCGTTACAAACTCATGGTGTCCTTAAAGTCTACATAGCTTACAATGCAGTCTCTAGTGTCCTTCAGGTTTACAAAGGTTACAACACAAAGATACACAAATTTGTGGGATGTTGGCGTTACAAACCTATAGTGTCCTCAAAGTTTACTAACTTTACGGTACGAAGATATACAAATTTTTGGTTTACGATATGAGGATGCACCAATTGGTGGGTGCACGGCGTTGCAAACTTATAGTGTGCTGAAAGTTTACAAAGCTTACAATACAAAGGTACACCAATTTATGCGCGGACGCAGGCGCCAATTTATGGAGGACGCAGGCGTTACAAACTTATAGTGTCCTAAAAGTCTACACAAAGTTTACAACTACGACAAAGATACATTGACGTTACAAAGTTATAGTGTCCTCAAAGTTTACAAACTTTACAATAGAAAATACACAAATTTGTGGGTGGAAGTTGGCGTTACAAACTTATAGTGTCCTCAAATTACAGTTTACTTACAAAGTTGACTCAGTTGACAATGCAAAGATACACAATTTTGTGGGTGGACGTTGGCGTTACAAACTTGTAGTGTCTACAAAGTTTACAAAGTTCACTATACAAAGAAACACAAGTTTGTAGGCCGACGGTGGCCTTACAAACTCATAGTGTCCTTAAAGTTCAAATTCAAAAATTACAATACAAAGATGCACAAATTTATGGGTGGACGTTGGATTTGCAAACGTATAGTGTCCTTAGAGTTTGCAAAGCTTACAATGCAAAGACACCCAAATTCATGGGTGGATGTTGGGGTTACAAACTTATGGGGTCGTTAAAATTTACAAAGCTTACAATACAAAGATACAGAAATCTGTGGGTGGACGCTGACGTTACAACCTTTGAAAGGTGTCCATGTTTACAACGTTTACAAAGTTTACAATACAAAGAAACACAAATTCATGGGTGGACATTGGCGTTACAAACTCATGGTATCCTTAAAGTCTACAAAGCTTACAATGCAAAGTTACACAAATTGATGGGTGGAAGCTGGCGATACAAACTTATAGTGTCCTTAGAGTTTGCCAAGTTTACAATACAAAGATACACAAATTTGTGGGTGGACGCTGGCGTTACACACTTAATGGTGTCCTTAAAACTTACAAAGTGTACAATACAAAGATACACCAATTTGTGGGTGGACGTTGGCATTACAAGATACACAAATTTGTGGGATGTTGGCTTTACAAACATATAGTGTCCTCAAAGTTTCTAAGGTTACAATACAGAGATACACAAATTTGTGAGTGGACGTTGGCGTTACAAAGTCCGTAAAGTTTACAAGCTTTACAATACCAAGATACACACACTTGTGAGTGGACGTTGGCGATAGAAACTTATAGTGTCCTTCGAGTATACAAAATTTACAACACAAAGATGCACAAGTTTGTGGGTGGACGTTGGCGTTACTCACTTATAGTGTCCTCAAAGTTTACTAAGTTTACAATACAAAGGTACACAAATTTGTGGGTGGACGTTGGCGCTGCAAACATATAGTGTCCTTAAAGCTGACAAATTTTACAATACAAAAATGCACAAATTCATGGGTGGACGTTTGCACTACAAACTTATGGTGCTCTTTAAAGTTTGCAAAGTCCAATACAAAAATACAAATTTTTGTGGGGGGACGCCTGCGTTACAGACTTATAGTGTCCACACAGTTGACAAAGTCTATAGTACAAACATACACAGATTTGTGGGTGGACCTTGGCGTTACAAACTTGTAGTGTCCTTAAAGCTTACAAAGTATACAATACAAAAAAACACAAGGTTGTGGGTGGACGTTGGCGCTACAAACTTATGGTGTCCTTAGAACTTATAAAGTTTACAATACAAAGATGCACCAATTTGTGGGTGGACGTTGGCGTTACAAGATACACAAATTTGTGGGATGCTGGCGTTACAAACATATCGCGTCCTTAAAAATGAATTACAAAGTTTACACTGCTTAAAATACAATTAATCACAAACT